ATAAGATTAGTGGACTGAAAGGAGGCAACTTCAATAATGAATGTATCGAATAATTATGAAATATGGAGGTACTTCCGGCCAATCATAGTTTGAAGATTGAGCAACAGCCTGTAGCCCCTTTCTTTTCTAATGAAAAAGATTATTACAAGGCTGATGGAATCTATGTACAACACTTGCACAAACACCCGGGCAGAAACCAAATAAAGAACATTTACCATTCTTTAATTGACAACGAGTTGAGCAGGCTAACAGAGGCTTGAATATGAGGATGGACAGTAATGAGCATTGCATACACAGAAAAACCGGATGTTGCGCATCCCTTGATCAGCATTTGCGCTGTTGGGCTAGAAGTCTAGTCCCTGACAGGTGTGAATCCGGGGATGCAACAGTAAATCATCCATTTGGATAGTCCTGTGTCCACTGCAGTTGACTAGTCTCCGTGAAAGTGTTGGGGCTGCATATGTTGCTGGGGCTATTTCTGTCGCCACAAAGATTCTCTACTGCAGCTTGACTTGGTGGCGCAGCCCAGTTCTTACTTAGCCTATGGGCTCGGTCTTCGTACCAAAACATGTGGAAGTCTGGGAGTGACGACGAACAAAGATTATTTTTAGAGTTGGGAAAGCCTTCTCCATTCGATCGCTTTATCCGCTCTTGCCGGTCATTCCCGCAGAGTAAGATGATGGCTAAGCCGATACTCTAGAGGTGTTGTACTCCGTAGATACTCCTTCCAAGCTATGGCTTTCTGATTAGATAACGATAAGCGAACGTCTGCGATAACAAGGCGGTAGAACTGGAAAATTAAAGGAACGCAAGCTTGAATTATCATGATATTGCTGAACTATCTGCTCGATCAACATTCTACGCTAGTATAATTCTTCGCATTGCCTTCATTAAGAGGATCATGGAGGAAAATGTATGAAAAAGGGGAAAACCCCCTTATCAACAAAAGGCAGAAAGTCAAAATGCAACCGAGATTACAAGCCAAGGGGACAAGCACAAAAGAGAGAAGAGTACTCCGTACGTATTCAGGGATACTCCGGGGCTCAGCTTCATATGAAGCAGCTTACTACTCGTTCATTTCCCACCCTCTGAAACGATGGCTTACAGGAGGCATGGATGAGCATCACCGCCATTCTTCCCTGACTAGGAAAGGGACGCATCTCACCGCTTAATTTGTTATCTGGCATGTAGCATAGCATAGTAAAACCTCTCGACTAATTTATCAGGCTGGCTGCTCCTAGGTTGAACTTTATGGTTTAGGTGGTCTCCTATTTCCACCTCCGAAAAAGCATGGGTGCATTGCAGATGGTCCTGAAAATTAATTAGTCGACACCAATGAACCACCGAAGATACTACGTACTTCGGAAATCAAAAATCCATCCTTATCCCTTATCGTTGCTTATCGAGTATCGGAATTCGCTATATTCTTGTACTGGGGTCCAGCGATCCTTTTCACGGCGCCTCGTTATCGCTATCAGAATCTCCGGACTGAGAGCCCTGATCCTGCCTTATCCCCCGCGAAAAAAGCCGGAGGAGGTGGCAAGCCGGTGGGTCAAAAAACTTTAACCTCGAATTTATTGGTTTTTTCGATAATAATATGGCATTTCGAACTTCGGTAGATTTCAGTAGTCTATTCAAACTTTTTTCCCAAAATTTTTTTGTCTCATTTTGTTTGTCCCGTTTTGTTATGATTTTTGGGGAGTTTTTCTACTTCCCCCGTTGCCCGTTCCATGAATTTTTCCGGTTGGATCTCGCCCTTGCTCGTCAAGCATGGAGAGCCCAAGGCCTTTTTTCCGAAGTAAACCCTTGTATCTCCTAAATCACAGTCAACCTCGACATCGAGGATGTCGCCCAGTTCCTCGGCATCATGACTATCTGTAGCATGATTCATTCGCAAATCTCCCGATAATAAAACTCATCGTATCCAATCAGTTTGTATCATGTCATCCGGCCATGTCGCAGTCAGAGCATAAGTACCAGTCAGCTGTTCACTCGCCACCACTCCTACACATTTATTACGTCTTGACTTAGTAATCCTACATCCAAAATGAAAGAGACGCAATAATGAACAGTGGTAGCCAGTCCTGGGATTACCCAGTGATTACAACCATACAGCGTAGATAAACTTCCAGATTTGCCACACGACTTTTCTTCGGAGCTTCCAAGCTCACTTCTGGAACATTTCCCGATTCTACCGCCAACAAAGCCATTGACGTCGCTCGTTTTAGACCCTTTAATGGGACGCTTTTACTGCCGCTCCACAGGAATAGGCTGTAGTTACCGAAGCGGGACCGAGTCGGTCCAGGCGTTATGATGTGGCGACAACGAGAATGCTTGGTACGCTGAGCATTCTCGATGTTTATCACTCTGGGGAGAAAGGACTTTTTGTAAGAGCTGGTCGAGACCAACAGCTTCTCGAGCAGATTACGGAGGTAGACCAAAGATAATATACATTTCTGATGAACGATAAGTTGTCAACATTCTATCAACCATCCGGATGTAAGAATACAGAAACGCCAGGGAACACCATTCATATAGAGCACAACAGGATATCATCGTAACTGTCGTAGCTAAACTTGCAGCGAACAAGGTTGGCAAAGATCAAAAATGAACTTGCGTTTGGGTGACCAGAGGAACTAGTCAGAGGAGCTTGAGCTGCTCGAGCTGGAAGAACTAGAACTGGATCCACGCCTGTGGTGCTTGTGTTTCTTCTCCTTATGCTTCTTATGCTTCTTGGACCTATTCGAAATAGTTAGAGTCTTTATCACAATCATTAAAAGTAAGTGCTGAGCCTTACATCTTACTAGCCATGTTCATTGCAGCAGCGCCTGCTAGTGCTCCTCCTGCAGCGCCTAGAAGTCCACCGCCGAGCTTCTTGCCTATAATCCCACCAGCAGCTCCTCCAACCAAGGTCGAGCCTAGGCCCCTTTCGCCCTCCTGTCCGACGGGAGCAGGACCATGCGCCCCTTGGTAGGGTTGTTCCGGGTGAGGAGCGCCATAGTAAGAAGCGCTTGCGCCTTGGGGATTGTGTTGTTGCTGCTGTGGGGGATACGGAGAGTGACCACGGTCCTGGGGCGGATAGTTCACGGGCGCGCCTTGCCCGTAGTTCTGATCAACTGGATACCCGCCCTGCTGGTGAGGAGTGCCATGTTGAGGCGCGTAGCCTTGTTGATCGTATGAAGGGGGAGGTCCGGAATATTGAGGATGGTGCTGTTGCTGGTCGTAGGAAGGCTATCAAATCAGGCAAGTCAGCTATTGAAGGTGCCCTCAAGTAACGGCGCGACAAACCAATCATTGACCGTGTAAAAAGCTTCAGAAACACGATTCGATCAAAAGAGAATACTTACTTCAGGTGGGTAGTACCCATGTTGTTGTGGAGGCTGCCCGTACTGGCCTTGTGGAGGAGGGTAGTTGTAGTTATGTTGACCTCCGTAGTATCCGTCGCTGGGCTGGCCATGGCCTTGCTGTGGGGCACCATATTGATTGTAGTGGTGGTTGTATGAATCAGACATTGTGATAAGACTAAGATACTGAGTAATTTGTCTTCGATGGATGAGATCTTGCAAGTACAACAAGGAGAATGAAAGGACGAGGCACAGGTAAGATGGTCTTATATACAAGGACTGCCGTTTCGCAATCTCAAGTCTCAATGGCGGAGCCGTCTGACAAATGATGGAAGGAGCCACGGCTCAGCGCGAAACTTGGTGAAATTCAGGGGCTCCGTCCCAGTCAATACGTGGATTACGAGGCGGTGCAGAGGCTATGACACGGGCGTTATCTAGGATGTAACAGCGACAATAAGAGGGGAAATCAACTCTAAGATTGGGTTGTATATCATGCACCGCCCCTTGTTCTTTCAAAAGAGTATTTCAAGTAGGCTGTGGCTACTGTGGCTAAGCAGTTGACCTACATGACTGGCAGCTGGGAAATGGGACATGAAAATCCACTAACACAATGTTCACGATCCAAAGAGCCAGCGCTTTATATTGCTGCCATCTATTAATAAATCATATCTTGACTCATTACAAGTTAGGTCATTATTAATCATGTGGTCTGTTTGTCTGTGTGGATGTCAACACCAATTATATACCTGTAACAAAAGCTCTTTGCTCCTTCATACAAACATTTTTATTTGGCAATCATACGAAAAAGCAGAATACTATCAAACGATAGCTACAGATGTTGACTACATTCAGATCACAGTCGCCTCTCTCGGAATGATCCCACTGGCGGGATTATTGTCAGGTCCGGAAACGAGGTGGCATATTACATACTCAGCACATGATAAAGCGAAGGGGAGATCAACATAAGAAGGAAATATGTGACTGCCAACCGTCTGCTGTGTTGATATCAAGCTCGGTCCGGTAAAGAAGAAGTTAACCTCCTCCTCCTCCGTCGTGGCCTTAATCCTTGTCAACAGCGGCCCCAGCCACAAGAGAATGAGAAATGCACCTCACCCCTTTCTCCGGATCTCTTTCAAACCCATCTTTTTTCTTGCTCTCTTGCTTCGATCAAGGATCCATGTGATCTCTTCGGATCTGAAACCAGCTACATGAGATGTTGACCCTGAATCTGTAGGTGAAGTTATGTGGTTGAAGGACGATCATGGCTCTCCTCATGGCCGCACTCATAGTGCCATTCTAGCAGGCGCCATGGCATTTGTCTGGCCAACTCGGCCCCGATGGGTCTCGGTCGATGATGTTAATTTCTCCCCCAAGTTTCCCACCGATTCGGTGTGAAAGAAGACATGAATCCCTTCAATAGATGACGGTGAATAATACATTGAAGTGATATGGCGGCCTTTGTATTCGAAGTGTCTGCCAGGAAAATCAGCGGGACCACGCATCGTCCATTTCAGCTGTCGGCTTTGCTAGACGCAACGATATCATGTGAGGTGGCCTCTTGTCTCCAAGTTCCTTGACTTTCACCATGTTGCAGGTAGTTTCCAACAAATTATAAATCCAATCCTTCCTCTGGTACACTACGATTATGACATACGGTCATTGGAGACTCGTTCGAGGAGTCGGCAGCTGGCCTCTCTTCGTCCGTTGCTGTAGGAGCCGGTACTGCTGGTCCCCGTGCTCTCTCTTGCCCTTTCCGGTCTCAGCCGATGCTGTTGGATCCTTGAATGCTGCTCGTAAACCATCAACAGTCTCCGGATCGTATCGAGTTTTCGATTGGGGATTGAAACAGAAGGCGTGACTGCGTCTTCTCACTCGCGGCGATGACAGTGGCGATGACAGCGGCGCCAGCTTCATTGAAAGCTGCAGCGGCATTACAAGCAGCAGGAGAATTGTTGTCATGTCGTTCACAATGTCAGCCTTTGCGGCGGAGGCAAGGGCCCATGCATTCTTGACTTTGTTTCGCCTGACTCTTGAATGCCTTCTTACCAATATCAACTCGAGCGTTCCAGGTCATCATACATAATGAATGATATCATCACTGAATGGATGTCTTGTATAGCTACCATCTTTGGCATTAGACTGTAGTATTCACTAAGCCAGCTCATTTCTATAGAGACCTTCACTCCTGTTGGATGCCATTCACTGGATTCGATTCCAGATTCTGTTCCAGGGATTCAAGATACTGCGTCCATTCACTGATGATAAAAGCCTCGGCTACTTAACATCGCAATCTCCCCTGTTCTTCTCCAACTTCTCTCTCAACTTCTTCTCAGCTTCTGCTTCAATGCCTCTCTTGTGATGCTTTACTACGTCGTACTCTGTCTCTCACCAACTTCCAGAACGTATTCCGCCCGAGCTCGTGCGGCAAGTTAAGGAGGAATACCTCCAAGAGGTAAGTTCTGTACAAGTGCTAATGCATATATACACGTATGCAGATGTGCGGATACGTACTTTGTACTCTGTCCTATATGCACTATATATCTTAAGATAGTACTAACTATAAGGTTATTATTAGCTCCGCGCCGGTTACTGGGTCGTCCTTGACGACGACGAAATCGGGGGGCCTGGCCAGGGGGATACCCTGACCGATAGCCAGGCCCTCCGAAAAGAGGAGTTGCTGCAAGAGCTCGAAAAGAGAGCTGCAGGACGAGATTTGCCCAGCAACAGCAACAACAACAGCAACCGGGCTGCTGCCGCCGCCGCCGCCTCCTCCCGTTCCTGCTGGCCCCCCAGCTCTCTCTGGTCCTGTGGATATTCCCAATATACTATACAGCTCACGTGATTAATCTTAGTTCTAGCCCTCTAAGAAGAGGAAGAATGAGGCAGAGGAGAACGCAAGGCGCGATGAGCGCCAGAAGCTCGGCCGCACTGTAAGTCTATATTGTCTATGCGCACATGTATATATCAATAACTAATTGATATTATCTACTAGATTGAGGGCCTTGGGCAAAATCTGGAAGCCTTGCCAGACGATTTGCGGAGAGGGCTGGGGGGTGCCGAAGCCGCGGTCCAACTTGACGGAGGCCCAGAAACTCCGTGTCATTGAGTTGGATGGTGAGTGGGCCGTAGCAAAGCAGGAGCGGGAGGCAGCGCACCAGAAGAGAGGCTAAAGCAGCCTGGGAGGAGGCAGAGAGGGCATGGGCTGAGGCAGACAAGGCATGGCGCGATGCCGATCAGGCAGTCAAGAGAGTCTCTGCAGAGCATCGGCTCTTTTTTAAAGAGCCTGAAGATTTGCCTTGAGTTGTTTTTCTTTTCTTTTTCCTTTTTTGGGTTGGGGGGGGGGKGGGGGRGGGATTCACCAGCTGGAGGAGGAGATCCGCGGCCTCCAAGTCCGCTTGGAGGCCGCCGATAAGGGCTTTCCAGGAGGCGAAGGCTGACGTGGCGGAAACCGTTCGCAAGCTGAATAGGCTGTAAAGGGGGCAGAACTTCGTCAATACGCTCAAACCATTGGCACGGGGCTGGTCAATGTTCTGAAGGTCGCGTCTCGGGGACTGTTGAACTCTTCGTCAGAGACAGCAATGGGATGCCGACACTACAACAGAGCGAGGTATGTCCAAGATATATGATTATGTTTCACATGCTTATTAACTCTTGTGCAGACTATATATTCCCGCGTCCTGCAACTCCCAACAACCTCTGGATCAGAAGAGGTGACCTTTTTGGGCCAGCGCTGGTGCCAGGGCGTAATGGCAACGACATCTTTACTTCAATGTCGAGGAATTACGTGATTATGCGGCCGAAGCCCTCGGATTCATGAATCTTGTTCCCGCTTAGATCCATTACGCTGGAGAGCCTTAGTCGATATGCACCACGTCCTCCTCATCCAGGAACTCATTAACCTAAGGAGGGTCATCGGCGAGTAGCTATGTTTGCTATAAGTAGATGACGCATGAATGAGCCAAGTACTGGAAGCCAAATTTCTATGTACTAGTATCAGCGGTAGTAATTTCAGTATATACACAGTAATCAGCCATCTCCCTATCGAACTCGGTCAATTCTCAACATGCCATATTTGTCAACATATGGCCTTTCTCCTTTAGTAACCCAGACTCCATTGTGGGTTGCTGTCACGCAATCAAAGCCACCCTCATGCCCCCAGACAACTTCCATTTCTTCTCGAAATTTGGTTTTTGGCTTATTATCTCTGATTCGCAGCTTTTCGAAGAATACATACGCTGCATAAAAGACGCTGCTTGTGTTGCCCGCATTGGCACCACGCTTGGAGAGAAGGTCATTGAGCATATTGGCACTGAGTTTCTTGTCTGTACCCGGATACGCAGCTTTGGCAATATCGCGCAGGAACTGGGCCTTGGTCACGTCGAGGTATCTGCCCTTGACTGAGTCTCCATATACCAGTGAATACGATATAGCAGGCCTTTAGGTTCTTAAGAGTGGATAGATGATCGAAATCACTGATCTTCACTAGAGGTCTGTTCATGAGAGGATGATTGCCACCAAGGCCATAGGACACGCCTATATCAGATTATGCCTTCAGCTTTCATACACCACCGTGCTATACACTGGTCAAGACAGGACAGTGATAGTTGTACATTTAGAGAGTCGTTTTTACTAAGATAGTACTCAGTTAATTTGAAGAGTATGGGTAGAGGCTATCTATAAGTAATTATATTTATCAAGACTGTGCACTTCACTGAGTTTGAATGTTGCTAGGTATAGTTGGAGATTCTACCATATATTGTTGCGTGTGCTGAGGAAGAGTAAACTTGTCAATATTGCCTCTTCATTTTCCTCTTCTTTCTTTTCATCTTCCTCTTTCTGTTTGTCTTCACTTTCACTTTTACTTTCATCTCCTTCTTCATCTCCTTCTTCATCTCCTTCTTCATCTCCTTCTTCATCTCCTTCTTCATCTCCTTCTTCATCTCTAGCACTATCTCTTCTGTCATCTCTATCATCTCGCCTTCTTCGTCTTCATCTTAGCCACCTTCACCAGTCACCGCGCTTGACTGCGAAGCCATCCCTCGAATTTCTTTGATTTCAAGGTGAGCGAGCATTTGTCTGTTTGTAAGGACTCCATCCTTCCAGTAACAAAGCATCAGCTCGTTAACTCTCATCAGAATTTGGTGAAAGGAGTTTTACCACAATAGAAAGGGTCAGTAAACAACGGCCATCCATCCCCTCACTTAAAACACATCATAGACAAAGAAGACAAAGTGCGAGGTATGCGTTCACCACTTGAGTTGCTACTTACCCAGTTGCTACTTACCCTTAAAAAGAAGGCTGATTGAAACTACTCCTTGGACCAGGTGACTTATGGACGTTCAAACCAGGACGGCCAAGTAGTTAAACGCTTGATCGACTCACATTCGACTAATACGAGGTACTATGAGCAAGAGGCGTGCAAATCCTGTTCCTAATATTCGATTCACAACAGGTGAGTAGTGTCGTTTCTCGTGACTCGCTGCCGCTGGGTGACAGTCGGCTAAGACGCGTTTGTAGAGGGCCATACAATCGGATATCGTTTTAAATATTTCAAACAATCTCGGTATCGTTTCAGCCAATCATCTCGATACCGAATACCGTCGGAGCATCGGTAAGTAGGTAAGTAAGTTCCCCTTCCCTCCGTCGCCTCGGACGGCGAGAGACAGTCTCCACGAGGCATTTCTACATCGCCAAGGGTAGCCTCTACGAGGCCGTTCTGGCACCCCGAGCTCGAGGGCGAGTGAAGCTATACTCCAACCCCGCTCTCCGAACACTACGAGTTTAGAACTTGTCAACCTTCGAGAGCATGCCATGCCACGAGGCAATAGTACCCTCTAACGAGCGTCTGTGGCATTCGAGCTCAACGACAAGCAGAACCTTGCTCCCTTTTACCTCTCAAGAAGCGACAAGTCCATGACTCAGTAGCATCTGAGGGAAGGCCACGCCATACGGCAAGACTGCTTCCACGAAGCGTCTCTGGCATCAGAGCTCAGGACAAGGAGCACCTTGTTTCAACACACCTCTTATGAAGCGAAAAGTTCACGACTCAGTAGCATCTAAGGCCATGCCACAAGGCAAGAGTACTTTTACAAAGTGTCTCTGGCATTGGAATTCAGGACATTGAGGACCTCGTTCCACCTCTTACGAAGCAAAGAGTGCATGACTCAGTAGCATCTAAGGGAAGGCCACGCCATACGGCAAGACTGCTTCTACGAAGCGTCTCTGGCATTTGAGCTCAGGGACAAGGGTCAGCTTGATCCCCTCCCGCTCCTTGCAGCAATCGTTGGTGTTATTCGTTGCAAGAGCAGAATGGTAGAGGCAAAGCTGAGAGAACTCATGCTGAGGCAGTCAATGCTTCAGAAGAAGCACCTGTCTCTGTGCCACCATTCAACGGCATCGGGGGAGATGAGGCCGTAATGGTCACATAACCCGAAGTCGACGCCGAATGTTGGTGATGGAACATGTCCAAATCCCAATGACGGCGATGAGAATTAAGGTGAAGTTGTAATGACTCATCTGATTCTTGATGGGTGCTTGAGAACGAGCGGATGCTTGTTCCAGCCCCGGTTCTTAGCAGAAATGGTTGTTGTCCATGGCACACACCAATCTGCAAGAGCAGTATGGTAAAGGCAAAGCTGGGAGAACTCATGCTGAGACAGTCAATGCTTCAGAAGAAGCACCTGTCTCTGTGCCACCATGCAACGACAGCGAGAAATCCGAGGCCAATCTGGTCCCCGAACTCAATGTCGATTACAGTGACATTGGAGATAAGAACGAAATGTTCCAAATCCCTTTGGCATTGGTGACAACTCCGGCGAGGTAGAAACTGGGCCAATTGTCAAATCCGGTCTTCTGACAAGAGTGACTGGATTCGGAGCTTGCGAATAATGGCGGATACCTTTATTCCAACTCCGGCTCTTACCAGAAGACGCCTACGTGGCAGTAATTGCTCAATGGCCTTCTGCGTGAGCGAATGGGAAGGGCAAGCACACAGTGCGCTCGGGCTAACAGACGCGCGGCGTCGACATGCCACCATTCAAGGGCGAGTAATTCGGGGCCAATCTGGTCCCCGGACTCGACCCCCGATCACAGCGTCGGTGATGAAGGATCATGTCCACAATCTGAGACGTCAATAATGCCAATGTCAATGATGAGAGTCATGGGTACTCTATTTCCCGAGACGTTGTTGAAGCCGACGTCGGTGATGAAGGACTTGTGTACCCTAATTCTCCAGACTTTGACAATATCGACGTCGTTGATGAGGATTCAGGCAAACTATATCCTGAGACGTTGAGAACAAATCCGCATTGCGTGGAGTCGGAAAGATAAAATAGCTTTCAGCAAGCCGGTACGACTTCATAAGCTTGGTGCAGCACGCACATCAACCGACTATTGTCATGGGAGCAATTTGCTTGAGACGGAGAGGGGCATGGCATGACGGGCATAGCTGAGTAAGATCCTCTTTTCATGCAGTCTTTAGCTCCAGGTATCTAGCACCTTGCTCTTCAAATACCATACTAATTATCACGGTTATTACTTGCAGATACCGGCAAGCCTAACGCAGACGACGACCCCGACCGTCATGGAGACAACGACAGGACAACGACAAGAGAGGGACATCGACAGGGACATCGACAGGGACATCG